GGTGCGGCGCGAACTGCAGACCCACATCACTCAGAACCAGCCCAAGATGCTGGTGCTGAACAAGCAGGTGCAGCTGTCGGTGGACGCCAACCTCGACAAGCCCGAGGCGCGGCGCGTGACCTTCTACACCAGCAACAACAACATCTTCTACCTCGAACTGGCCATTGACCGCACCGAGTTCATCAAGCTCTACGACTTCGAAGCCCAGGAAGCGCCGGACCCCGACGCGCTGATGGCCCAGTCGCAGGAGGCCCCTGCAGTGCCCGCGCCGCCGCCCGCCGGTCAGGACGATACGGATGCGCTGCTCAAGTCGCTCGGGATGTGATCTCCGATCTTCAAAAATGATAGCTACCAGCGTTTGATGGACAAGCGCTAGGGGCTATTTTTATTGAAAATTCGGCATCCTGGCATCGTCCTACGCACACCAGCGCGGTGCGCCGACCACAGCTCCATGTGGCACGTCTAAGCTCAAAAGCCGACCCGTTCACCACCAAGGAGCCACCATGCCCCGTGCCGCCTGGAGCGCCAAACGCGAGCGCCAGTACGAACACATCAAGGACAGCCTGCTCGACCGCGGCAGGGACGAAGACACGGCCGAGGAAATCGCGGCCCGCACGGTCAACAAGGAACGCGCCCAGCACGGCGAAGCCAAGACCGCCAACCCCAAGACGCTGAAGGCCACGCCCGCCCCCGTGCGGGGCGGCAGGAACTCGCACCGCGGGCCGCAGGGGCCCACGCGCGATCAGCTTTATGAAGACGCCAAGCGCCTGGGCATCCCCGGGCGATCCAGGATGAACAAGCAGCAGTTGCAAAAGGCCGTGGCGCGCTGATCAGCGCCGGCCTCTCGGCTCTGGCGCTACTGCCAGCCAAACCGCCGCGTGTAGTAGCGCTTCATGGCCGTGGTCAGCAGCACATAGCCCGCCAGAATGCCCACCAGCCACGGAAAGTACACCAAAGGCAGCGCCTGCAGCTTGAAGTGGCTCGCCAGCGGACCCATGGGCAGAAAGATGCCCACCGCCATGATGAGCACCGTGGTCACCAGCAGCGGCACCGACGCGACGCTCTGCACGAACGGCAACTTGGGCGTGCGGATCATGTGCACGATCAGCGTCTGCGTGAGCAGGCCCACCACGAACCAGCCCGACTGGAACAGCGTCTGCGCACCGACGTTGTTGGCTCCAAACACATGCCACATGACGGCAAACGTGGTGATGTCGAACACCGAACTGATGGGCCCGAAGAACACCATGAAGCGGCCGATGTCGCCCGGGTTCCACTTCAGCGGGTTGCGGATGAGTTCCTCGTCCACGTTGTCGAACGGGATGGCGATCTGCGATAGGTCGTACAGCAGGTTCTGCACCAGCAGATGCAGGGGCAGCATGGGCAAGAACGGCAGGAAGGCGCTCGCCACCAGCACCGAGAACACGTTGCCGAAGTTGGAGCTGGCCGTCATGCGGATGTACTTGAGCATGTTGCTGAAGGTCTTGCGGCCCTCCATCACGCCTTCTTCCAGCACCATCAGGCTTTTCTCCAGCAGGATGATGTCGGCCGCCTCCTTGGCGATGTCCACCGCGCTGTCCACGCTGATGCCGATGTCGGCAGCGCGCAGCGCGGGCGCGTCGTTGATGCCGTCGCCCATGAAGCCCACCACGTGGCCGCCCGAACGCAGGGCGCGCACCAGGCGCTCCTTGTTCATGGGCGAGAGCTTGGCGAACACGGTGTGCGTCTCGGCAGCCTGCGCCAGGGCCCCGTCGTCCATGGCGTCCACATCCCTGCCCAGCAGCACGCCCTGCACGGGCAGGCCCACTTCGCGGCACACCTTCAGGGTGACCAGTTCGTTGTCGCCCGTCAGCACCTTCACCGCCACGCCATGCGCCGCCAGCGCCTGGAGCGCGGGGGCGGTCGACTCCTTCGGTGGGTCCAGAAACGCCACGTAGCCGATCAGCGTGAGGCCAGCTTCATCGGCCACGCCATACACCGTCTGGTGCGGCGGGGTTTCCTTCATGGCCACGGCCACCACGCGCAGACCCTCGTTGTTCAGGCCGCGCGTCACTTCCAGCACGCGCTCGCGCAGCGTGGCATCGAGCGGCAGGTCCTGCGCGCCGGCTGCTTCCACCACGCGCACGTGGGTGCACACGTCCAGCATCTCTTCCACGGCGCCCTTGCAGATCAGCTCATGGTGGTCGTTGCGCTCGCTCACGATGACCGACATGCGCCGGCGCATGAAGTCGAACGGAATCTCGTCGACCTTGCGGTAATCCTGCGCCAGGCGCAGGTCGGCCTGCAGTTCCACGTGCTCCAGCACGGCATGGTCCAGCAGGTTCTTGAGCCCGCTCTGGTAGTGGCTGTTGAGGTAGGCAAAG